ACTATTTTTGAAACCTCCATAGATATGTTTAGATATTATTCTAACTCAGAGACAAACCTCATGCAAAAAACTGCTTAGAATTAATAACAAAAAAATGACATGTATCTGTTTAATTGACAGTAATCCACCAAATGATTAACATCTATCTCACTGTAACTCTGTATCTTTTTTACAGGATGGTTACATTGACTTTGTGGAATATATTGCAGCAATCAGCTTATTGTTGAAAGGAGAAATCAACCAGAAACTGAAATGGTACTTCAAGCTTTTTGATCAAGATGGAAATGGAAAGATTGACAAGGATGAACTGGAGACCATATTTAAGGTACAGTGCGTTTGTTAACGTTTCCCTGAATTGTAGCGATGAGCCGCAGCGTTGCAGAAGAAAATAAACTGGGTTATTTGGCCATGAACTAGACATGACACCTAATCCACCAGGCTTCTTAACCAGCACTCAGGCTAAATACAGCCTTGTCTAACACCTAGTTTAAGTCTTAGAAGATTTCACTAAAGATGAACTCCTCCTCTCTCCTGTATCTTCCCTCACCCCTTTTTCTTCCACTAACACAGGTGTGGGCAATCTTTTTGACTCGCGGGCCACTATGGGTCCTAAAATTTGACAGGGGAGCAGATAGATGGAACATACGTGTGAACTAAGATAAATGACATGGAAAAGTCACGCATAAAAGCTTAAATGCTTTTAGCCTTTTTTACGCCATCTATTGGGGAAATGGGGGGATTACAGGGAAAAGGCAGACATATACAGATAATATTAATTAATAGAGAAAAAGCTTTAATAAAAATAAAAAGCCATATGGACCACATTCGGCCCCTGGGCCTTAGTTTGCTTATGCTTGCCCTAACACCTACACATCCCTCCTATCTCTACTTTAACTCTACTTATGTTCTTGTGATGAGACTCCTTTCATTTCTTCTCCTCATCTCTGATCACCTCCTTCCTTCTTGACTTGACTCCTCATTGACATTTCATTTCCCTTCCTTCTCCACTTTTTGTGTTCCAACATCTCATATCACCATCCCCTGTTCCCCCCTTTGATCTCCCTCACCCTCTGTGGATTTTCCTTTTGAAATTCAGAATGACAAACACCCTGGTTGTAGTTAGAATAATGCAGATTCAGAACTGTGCCATTGCCGCAGTGAAAATAACTGCTGTAGTTAAGAACTTAAGACCTTCAGCCCATGTAACTGAGCAGATTGAAATCTTGTCAACTCTTTTAGGCCATTCAGGACATCACCAGGACCTACAGCGTCCCTCCTGAGGAGATTGTGACACTGATTTATGAAAAAATCGACGTCAATGGAGAAGGTAACGAATATTCTTATCACCATATCTGATTAAGAGCATTTTTAATTAATTTGTGTATTTTAAAAAATATATAACATCAAGAAGTGTGCTTTTATGTATTTAATTTAGTAAGAGATACATTTACATTGTTCAGAGCAACGTCTACAGTCTGTTTTGACAACAAATAATGTCGAAGCTACAGTGAACATTTTTCTACAAATGACCTTCTTTGTGAAAATGGTCTTAAAAAGTGTTAATTTGCCTTGTAATAAAGTTTATGTTGCTGAGTTTCTTAACTTGATAAATTGTTATTTTTTTAAGTACACAGAATATTTACAATATTTGTAGCTTGAATAAATAATAATCAATTTCAGAAACATGTAATAATACATTACGGAGTAGTTGCATCTATACATGTCTTACAGTTACGACCGGCCCTTCAAGGGCAACTGTAGTGCTAATGTGGCCCCTTGGTGGAAATTAGTTGGACACCCCTGCACTAAGAGATTTTCATCTATGGCCCCTACATGACTGACGACTGTCCTTGTTGCATCGTGTCCACAGGTGAGCTGACGCTGGAGGAGTTTATCAGTGGAGCCAGGTGTCATCCTGACATCATGGAGATGCTCAGCAAGATGATGGATCTCACCCACGTGCTGGAGATCATTGTCAACGGTCAATGCAAAAAAGCCGTAAAGTAAATTCCTCCCGTGTGCGAGATTGTGAAGACATGTGAACTGCTGCCAAGTTGAAGAAGGAGGCTCCGGGAAGAGTCAGGTCCTCCAACAAAATGTACAAAGTTCGAGTCAGACTTTGAAAGAGTGGAGAGTCTTCGATCTTCTTCCTTCTGTTTGGGCTCTCACATGGAAAGGCCCTTCTATTTCGTCAAAGCTTAAAAAACATTGAGACAGTGTTTTTGGCGGGAGTCTTATTAAAGACTGTGGCTGCCAAAGAGCTCCCATCATGCTTTTCACCGATGACGTAAAGCAAAATGAAATGTCCATTTTGATTTATGTCTTCCAGGCAAACTAAGCTGGAAAGTGCTTCATTCAGGTTTGCCAAGAACCCAGAGGCAGAGAGCAGACACTCCAGCTTTGTTGTGAGTAGTTTGGGGAATACTTTTTGTTGGAGAGGTTTGGTTTGGAACATAGTAAATTCATACTTCATTCTGATTAATTCTGTTTAAATCTCTGTCAGAGTCAAGTACAGTATACATGTAATAGATGGTAAATGACTACAATTGAAAATGAATGAAACACGGTTGCCTTAAAACACCAATAAAGTGTTCATTATTCCTCATAGCATCTACACTTGTATTTTTGTTGTTGCTGCCCAAATTAAGGTGTTGGCTTGAAATATTTGTTAATATCAAAACAGTATTCTATTCATGTTTTTAATTAAATCCCAAATTCTCTGTAGACTTGTAATGTTCAGATGTAAAATGAGAGTTAGTAGAACTAAGATAGAAAACTATTATTTATTTACTGTAAATAATACGTCTTTGTCGACGTGACAGTCACCATTACAATAGTTTTCCACTAGGTGGCAGCAGATAGCCAAAGAAATTTAAATAGATATATAGATTCAGATCTGTTAAAGATCATGGAGTGGGTCTTTCTTCAATTCCTCGATTATATCAGCATGGTGTTCAAATAAACAGGCCCAGGTTCTAATCTGAGTACAATGAAACAAATGATGATTATATTTCAATACATTTACTTTTTGATATTTTAGAATGGTGGTCTGCTAATGGATAGCTACAGTGTAGGAAATTAAATTGTGGTCTTCAGCACAATAAAAACTTCAACTTGCAAAATTGAATAAAAGCCGTAATATTTTGCCAGGTTAAGTGGCCATGAATCTATAATTCAAAGGTTGTGTTTGCACTTTGTGTTATATTTGTTTGGAGACACAATTTAAAAAATATAAGTTAAAAACTGACTGGGCTACTGACTTAGGTATTGAATAAATCAAAAACAAACAGCACTCACGTGATGCTTCCTTTGGCCTCAAATCGTGGAAAAAAAAGTTTAAATGTATAAACCATTATAAAAATGTCAACACAGGTGACCTTGGATTTTTGACCACCTTGTTTGGGTCAGAATTTGACATCCCACAGCTGATGTTTGACGTTAGCATTGGTTAATTATTTCACACAGTATCTATTTTAGTCAGATCATTAATACGAACTCCAATGAACTGAGGTTGTGCAAATCATACAGATAAGGCTTTGACTCCACATAGCACCCAAACACATGGTAAAGTATCGGATGATGCAGCTACGTAGCAGCACTGATGGTCAACCCACCTGCATCTGATCATATAAATACACTACTGCCTGCTGAGCAGGTCTTTGCAGTGCAGTGGGCTGTCTTCTGTTCGTCACCAAAGTGTAGCAGCAGCTGACCATCTGATGTTAACCATGCAGTCTGCCGAAAACAAGCTGAACAAAAACAGCCTCCTCCTGGCTCTGAGGAGATACAGCTCAGCTGTCAATAACATGGAGCAGACTGTTCTCCTTCCCAGCCTGCTAAGAGACGTGCCCTCAGATGACGTGTGGGACAGTGAGGTGGCAGAATCATGTGAAGACCTGTACGGGAACTACCTGATGCTGAAGACCATCAGAAACATGGTAGAGAGTGGCCTGGTTCCCCTGGATGAGAACAAGATCAAAGAGAGCCCAGTTCTCCACCAGACCATGGAGCCACTGTTGGACACAAACCCAGAGTCTCTGTTTTGCTTCCACCTAAGAGGACTATTTACTGTGATGAACACACTCACCAAGAGGTCTCAGAGCGTGACTGGGAAATATATGGAGATTATTGGTGTGTCAAATTAGACATGAGTCAAGTGGACATCTAACACCAGCTACACTGAGAACCTGGCAAACAGCGAAAGTCACTTTAACATCCATGACAGTTTATGTCCTGTGAGGCCAAGCTTCGAATTAAGGAAATGATGAATAAACTAACAGTGCAAAAACAAACATCTGTGTCTTATTTCTAATTGATAACACAAGACTTTGGTTTTGATATAATGCAGATATTCCTAGAGTGTACCTCCAGGAGTGCGCAATCTGCCACTAGGGGGTAGGTAAGCATTATATTTGTAGCTCTCCATAGCAGACTCAACTATCTTTACTGAACACCGTTAGTTGTTTCATGGGAATTATGTGATTGATGGAATGTGTTGAATTTTGGACGGCTTCTAAGTTTGTTGTATGCGATTTCGAAATGTTTGGCGTGGTTGTTAGCTCTCAGGATTCTGTCCGCTGCGTAACTACTGTGGGTTTTTTGTTGTTGTTGATGTCTGTCATGAATTTAGTTTAGTAGTTATGTAATTAGTGTACTTTATTTTAAATATTATATAATAACAACTTTATATAGATGAATGTTTGATTGAGTGTTTCCTTTATCTTCCATCTAATTACCTAAGGTGGAATAAACGATTTAACCACGAAAATCTTCGTGTGTCAGACTCGTCGCTCTAAGTCACACCCTAACGTCATCATCAAACACAATTTACGAGTGTAGGGAGGCACGACATCGTACGGACTGGGTTACACATCACACACACACATACATAAGTGTGCGTGTATACTGTATATGTTTGTATACTTTGTTCCCTCTCTATATCGCGATTCTTCTTTCACTTCCTCAGTACATCGTAAATATAACCTAAATAATATAACTATCTCGCCGACATCGCGATTTTTTCCCATTTCGCGGTGGGTCTTATAATACGTCTTTGTCGACGTGACAGTCACCATTACAATAGTTTTCCACTAGGTGGCAGCAGATAGCCAAAGAAATTTAAATAGATATATAGATTCAGATCTGTTAAAGATCATGGAGTGGGTCTTTCTTCAATTCCTCGATTATATCAGCATGGTGTTCAAATAAACAGGCCCAGGTTCTAATCTGAGTACAATGAAACAAATGATGATTATATTTCAATACATTTACTTTTTGATATTTTAGAATGGTGGTCTGCTAATGGATAGCTACAGTGTAGGAAATTAAATTGTGGTCTTCAGCACAATAAAAACTTCAACTTGCAAAATTGAATAAAAGCCGTAATATTTTGCCAGGTTAAGTGGCCATGAATCTATAATTCAAAGGTTGTGTTTTCACTTAATGTTATATTTGTTTGGAGACACAATTTAAAAAATATAAGTTAAAAACTGACTGGGCTACTGACTTAGGTATTGAATAAATCAAAAACAAACAGCACTCACGTGATGCTTCCTTTGGCCTCAAATCGTGGAAAAAAAAGTTTAAATGTATAAACCATTATAAAAATGTCAACACAGGTGACCTTGGATTTTTGACCACCTTGTTTGGGTCAGAATTTGACATCCCACAGCTGATGTTTGACGTTAGCATTGGTTAATTATTTCACACAGTATCTATTTTAGTCAGATCATTAATACGAACTCCAATGAACTGAGGTTGTGCAAATCATACAGATAAGGCTTTGACTCCACATAGCACCCAAACACATGGTAAAGTATCGGATGATGCAGCTACGTAGCAGCACTGATGGTCAACCCACCTGCATCTGATCATATAAATACACTACTGCCTGCTGAGCAGGTCTTTGCAGTGCAGTGGGCTGTCTTCTGTTCGTCACCAAAGTGTAGCAGCAGCTGACCATCTGATGTTAACCATGCAGTCTGCCGAAAACAAGCTGAACAAAAACAGCCTCCTCCTGGCTCTGAGGAGATACAGCTCAGCTGTCAATAACATGGAGCAGACTGTTCTCCTTCCCAGCCTGCTAAGAGACGTGCCCTCAGATGACGTGTGGGACAGTGAGGTGGCAGAATCATGTGAAGACCTGTACGGGAACTACCTGATGCTGAAGACCATCAGAAACATGGTAGAGAGTGGCCTGGTTCCCCTGGATGAGAACAAGATCAAAGAGAGCCCAGTTCTCCACCAGACCATGGAGCCACTGTTGGACACAAACCCAGAGTCTCTGTTTTGCTTCCACCTAAGAGGACTATTTACTGTGATGAACACACTCACCAAGAGGTCTCAGAGCGTGACTGGGAAATATATGGAGATTATTGGTGTGTCAAATTAGACATGAGTCAAGTGGACATCTAACACCAGCTACACTGAGAACCTGGCAAACAGCGAAAGTCACTTTAACATCCATGACAGTTTATGTCCTGTGAGGCCAAGCTTCGAATTAAGGAAATGATAAATAAACTAACAGTACAAAAACAAACATCTGTGTCTTATTTCTAATTGATAACACAAGACTTTGGTTTTGATATAATGCAGATATTCCTAGAGTGTACCTCCAGGAGTGCGCAATCTGCCACTAGGGGGTAAAAAGTGTGATGGCGGGTTGAAGTGGATAAAAGAAAAATCCTGCTGTGATGGCCGGTTGAAGTGGATAAAAGAAAAATCCTGAGTAAAACTTAAAATCAAAAGCTGACCTTTTATGTATTACAGATGTAGGGCAGAACCTAAATTGTTCACAAATTGGCGCTGTTTTTATGTTTACACCAGTCAGGCAATTATCACTATTTTGTTCTTAATGGGACACCGTATTTAGAAGGGTTGTTGTGCAGAAGCTCAGATGTGATTTTAGTGTTTCTCTTATCTTCGAAAGGTAAGCATTATATTTGTAGCTCTCCATAGCAGACTCAACTATCTTTACTGAACACCGTTAGTTGTTTCATGGGAATGATGTGATTGATGGAATGTGTTGAATTTTGGACGGCTTCTAAGTTTGTTGTATGCGATTTCGAAATGTTTGGCGTGGTTGTTAGCTCTCAGGATTCTGTCCGCTGCGTAACTACTGTGAGTTTTTTGTTGTTGTTAATGTCTGTCATGAATTTAGTTTAGTAGTTATGTAATTAGTGTACTTTATTTTAAATATTATATAATAACAACTTTATATAGATGAATGTTTGATTGAGTGTTTCCTTTATCTTCCATCTAATTACCTAAGGTGGAATAAACGATTTAACCACGAAAATCTTCGTGTGTCAGACTCGTCATCATCAAACACAACTTACGAGTGTAGGGAGGCACGACATCGTACGGACTGGGTTACACATCACACACACACATACATAAGTGTGCGTGTATACATGTAGGGAATTGGGGGTGCGTTAACAGTAATAAAAGGATATAAAGGAGGTTGTGCAGCCAAAAAAGTTGGGGAACCCCTGATATATGCCAATAAATACTAATAAAGAAACAATAGCATTGATATTTTTATATACAAAAATTGAAGAAAAAACAATATGATCAAACTGTTTTATTGTTAGGAGTTTTAATTATTTACACAGTTCCATTTCAACACACAGTAGTTAAAGACTGACCAAACAAAAAAATCCACTGCAGACAAATGGTGATAGACAAATGGTTTCCTCTTTTTAGTCTCACTTAGAAGACAGGCTTGAATGGTTCCACAATCTCTGCATAGGTCTTTTTTTCTGTAGACAAAGAAGACAGACAAAGAAGTTACATTTTGAGCAAAATTCTGTTCATGTCAATTCTCTACCTAACGTACGTAATGCAGTTTGTACTGTACTGCCCGTAATGTGACATTCTGTGTTGACGGCCACTGTTACCTTTTTTCTGAAAGTCCTCTGGGTGAAATTTCATGTATGCAAGCATTTCCTGGTCTCGTTTGGCCCACTTGTAATTTGCATATTTTGTCAAGTGATAGCCAATGAACCAACCAACTGTTGCGCCCAGAACCTGTCGATGGACACCTGTAAGAGGGGAAAAAATGATTGAAACAAGTCATGTCGTCTGAGCTCAGGAAGTAGCATCATTAGGAAGAAATAAAAATAAAATTATTATCCAACAGATCAGGTTGTCGTTTTTGTGTACAACATGTGTGAACCATTACCCTTATGCCTTTTAACGTTGTTTGTTTGATAACTAATTATGTGACTCAATATATTTTCAATGTAAATATGCGTGGTGTATTTACTCCTAAGACAAAGACTTACATACTTGTAAAAAAATACCCATTGATGTTGCATTTATAACCTTAATGAATTGATCAAGTTCAAAAACAAAAATCGACTGCCTTCAGTTGCAGCTTAATGACTGAATATAAATAAACAAATTTAACAAGACGAGCTTAAATCACGAATGTTGTTCATGTGTCACTACATGGGTTATTTTTAAATTTTAAAGAACGTTTTAATTATTTCCAATTTTTTTCATTCATTTTAATTAAGTTTACACTCCGGGAAGACTGTGGGACAACATGCTAAGGACAGCTGCTAACCTGATCTTATCGGCGGCCTCAGTTTAACGGCGTTGTCGATCATTACGACGCACCAGCCCATTAATGCCATCCACGCCGAGTTATAGTTCATGATCCCCGGAGGAGGAAGACCCTTTGCCTCATCTGGAATAAGCCCCATTTTTTGAGAAAACCCGTCCCTGTGATTCAATTTTGACGTGTGGGTTTCACAGCAATATCACCTACTTAAGGAAGTCAAGGACATAATGTGCAACTGCGAGAGCCGTCCGGGTAAAATGTTTCATAATATAACGTTCCGGTATGGACTTGCCCTAGCAACAAGCGTGAGGGAGGAAATTGCTTGTCATGGTGTTGCTTTTACTATTATTATGCCCAGTTTTACAACTGCTGTTAGTACTCTTACGACGCCCATAACAACTTTTAATACGTAAGACACGACTTATTGTAGCTCCTACTACAACCGTTTTAGTCGTAAACCTGCAGCTCCACATTTCAAATCCTCACAGCAGTATCATCTCCAGACCAATAATCCTTGGGTTGTGTGCCTCAGATTTACTCAAAATGTAATCATACATGTTTCGGTAATAAAGTTCTAAATTGTTTTAATCTTGATAGCTTACTCCTTGTCAGATTGTCAGTTGTGATCAAATTTGAGGATTTGTATTTCCCTTCTCTTTTTCTTCCACATCCAAGGGTGGTTATTGTTATTATAAAACATTTAATTATGAATATTATGATTATTAAATAATCATAATATTAATAACGTGTATATACTGTAAATACACATTGACTTGAGCCAAACTATTTAGTAGCAATGGTTAAAATGAGGCAGAAAATATCTTTCTGCGAGAAATACATATATTTTGGTTTTCAAACCAAAAGCTATAGCAGTACGTTTTAAATAAAAGTTCAAAATATCCTTCTTTGAATTAATTATTTGCTTATTTGCTGAATAAATGAGCTAAGTTATGTGAACAGATGACATCATTGAGTGCAGTTCTCCTCCTCCTCCTCCTCCTCCTCCTGCTCCTCAAACTGCCCCTGCTCTTGCTGCTGCTGAGCTTTGTCATCCACAGGAATTATGCTCATCCCACCAGTGGCTCTCATTATTTCATGAGGAGACCTATGCAAATCAAGTAGTGAAAGGTCTGGGGATTATTCCCCGCCGTCTTTGTGGTAAGTACAGACAGCGTGCAGTGTACTCTCTGCAGAGGTGGCTTTGATTTTTCGCTGCAGATTTGAGCCAAAATGGCTCCGGAGTAACACGGTAGCTGCTGGTAGCGGTTAGCGGCTAACTGTTGTTGTGTGCTTCGCCCTGTTATATGCCTTGCATTTACAAAATAGCAACAAATCGCCAGAGAAGTACCGCGTCGCGAATTGCAAAGTATAAAACAATAACAAAAGGAAACGGAGAGGGGAAGCGCGGTGCTGGGGGAATTAACACCCACAAACGCACCTTAATTATAACGGTGTATATACATATTCATTTATATTCCGTTTTGTATCACGTTTTAAATTCGTTTATTGACTTTTGATGAAAGTGAATAACTCGATAACATACCTTCGACGGATCCGGGCCTGATTTTGTTGTTCCTTCGACGGATCCGGGCCTGATTTTGTTGACAACAGATGTGTCGGCGTTTCACAGAAATAATAAATCGTATAGAGACGATTAGAAATCGCTTCATATGTACATATACAAAGGGCAACTCGCATAGAAATGGTTGTGTTAGATATTTATATCATTCAGAAATTACTAAGGAATTGTTGTGTGACATGAATCTTAGACAACTATGACGAATTAAGTACAGTGCGCAAAGGGAGCTGGTGATTTGATGGGATTCCATAAACAATCATATAATATTAATTCCAGTCAGTCATTGAATGTTTCACATGTTGCTACGTCCATCTGAAGGGACCCTCCCTTCTCTCTTTTCCGTTCCTTTTGCACTTGACTGGTCGGCGATGTTTACATATTTTAAATAGACTTTAGGTGTGGTAGTGTAGTGACCCGAAGGATGCAAGAACAACAGTAGAATGGAATAACAGGATCAGCTCAGAGGAGTCACACTTAGGTCAGCAATTGATCTTGTATTTTGTATTTTTTGTGTTATAAAATGTAATTTTATTACGTTTACCATTTCAGGATGTTGATTGGTTGTTAGCATTGATGCCTCAGCAAAACAAGATGTTATATGGAGTTTGGTTGCTTACCCACACGTGTGGTTTTTTTTTTGTTTAATCCAGTCTAAAAATTGGAAATACTTTTAATTACCTTGAAAAGTTTTTCTCATTCCCAACTTTGCTCTTGTCCTCTTATTTCCTCAGGTTAGGATGAGTATGGAAGATTATGACTACCTGTTTAAGATAGTCCTGATAGGAAATGCTGGAGTTGGGAAGACATGTCTCGTCAGGCGTTTTACTCAGGTGTGTATTTGTCTTTGTTATGACAGTGCAGACATGTAAATTATTGTATCTATTTAGATTGTGCAGTAATGTATTCAACTTTTCATTTTAGGGCCTTTTCCCACCAGGACAAGGGGCTACTATTGGAGTAGATTTCATGATTAAAACAGTGGAAATCAGAGGGGAGAAGGTCAAGGTAATTTTTTTGAAATTTCCAATACAAAAACAAGTGGCCTTAGATTTTAAAAGATACACTAGGTGCAGATTTTAAATATGTTTTTTTTCTCCCCAGCTGCAGATATGGGACACAGCCGGGCAGGAGAGATTTCGCTCCATTACTCAGAGTTATTACCGCAGTGCCAATGCCCTCATTCTTACATATGACATAACCTGTGAGGACTCCTTCAGGTGCCTTCCAGAGTGGCTGAGGGAGATTGAGCAGTATGCCAACAATCAAGTGGTGACTATATTAGTCGGTAAGATCGGTGATTTGATTTTGCTCTTTAATAGAGATACAATTTATTGTCCCGGACTTCAGGAGTCTGAACTTTGGAATTGCTTTCATCCACCCTGGACAATTGTTTAGTTTGTTCATAGCACTGTATTTTGCAGATGCCTGAAATAAAATAGAATAAAACAGAAGTTTGTTGTAATTTAGACTACACCAAGCATTGCACATCAGATAGAATATCCTGCCCTCTGCTGGAGCATACAGTTATTACTTTACACATTTTTTACTCATTGAAGGTTTTTTTTAACCTTTACTGCTCTTTAATAATCAACAGATGTTCAAAATCACATCTCACTCCCGTTCAGATCACAGCCTTGTATTTCAGTCTGCTTTGCCGAATCCACAGGTGTTTTCTGCTCTCCCGTTTTGTTCATCGGCAGTCAAATTGGATATGAAAGCTGTCCTTCAACAGTTTTCAAAGACACAACAATTGTCCAGAAAGATCATCTGTGCTGTATTTCGCTGGCAAGCGTCTCACATATTTGTATGTTTTTTCAGGAAATAAAATAGATCTGGCAGAGAAGAGGGAGGTCCTCAGGCAGAAGGCTGAAGACTTTGCAGAGTCTCAGAGCATGCTGTATCTGGAGACCTCGGCCAAAGAGTCCGACAATGTTGAGAAGCTTTTCCTTGACCTGGCCTGTGAACTCATTCGAGAAGCCAAGCAGAATAAGCTGGACAACACGGACTCTGCCCCAATGCCCGGTGAGGGTAAAGCCATCAGTTACCTGAGCTGCTGCAGTCTCAATTAGAGATGTCGAGAGCATCATCCTTTCAGCCGTGGTAACTCTGTGAACGGTGGCTATAGAATGATGATGGCTGAGCCCCAATGCCTCAATCCCTTTTAGGTTGTGTTCAAATTCTTGGTTCTGTCATATCTAATCCCATGCCGTATTTTTAAAGCTGTGAGAGGCAGTAAGTCCACTTAGGTCGGCCTTTTAGGAGCGAATAATTAGAAACACTACTTCAATAAAGGACAAGACCCCAAATGTACTCATTTGTAGACCATATACAGGTCTTGTATTGACATCTGTCTTTGAGTGATCTGAGCAACAGCAGACAAAAATGTAAGTCCAGGCCCAAATGCTTCTTTAGTTGTTGTCAGATAGAACAATAGAAACCACATGTAAGTGGTTTGGTGAGCCATGCTTTAAAGCCTATCACCTGGGCTGACATATTCAAATCCACTGCCCCTCTCAATCATGTTATGGGAACATTGTTGATTATTATAACTCACCAAGTTATGCATGACAGACTTGTAAAAAAAAGGAGTTTGAGGAGTTTAAGGAGTTTAGTGAAAATATCTAAGCTTAACCTAAGAGGTCAGTGGAGCTACTTTTGTTCTGCTTCATTGCCTTCGCTTTTACAACCTGATGGCAACAATATGCCATTTCTTCTGTGTTCAATAAATATTCCGTAACATGACTGATGTGATCCCTTGTGGTCACAGAGGATACATCCAAACATCCATTTAAATGCCAGGAAGGAACATTCATACAATAATGCTGCTTACGTCTAGTCAGATCTCTCAGGACCGATGTAAATACCAGGTCTGAATAGATTAGATTCTAGAATCTGACATGGGATGGAAGTTGTCCCCTTGATACTACAAAAAAAAGAAGAATTTTACAATTTTCTGCAATTTTGGCTCAGTTTTTGTTAAACATCAGTGTTCACCAGCAGTATGTTGTGAGTAAAAACCAACCAGGTATTTTGTTACAGACGCGACAAAAGCTTCATCTTCGGAGGTCATCATTTAAAGTTGCATTATGTTTACACATACAGAGTGTTTTACTCTTTATGGGCAACTAACACTTAATTACACAATCAGTCATTTACTGCTAGTTTCCTTTTTGCCCCCTGACATTGGCATAAAATGTAATCTACCCTCTGCGTAGTTCTTTGCACCTGTCATTACAAACTGTGAAACATTTCTTTCCAGTAGATTTTTACTTGCTGCTAAAATGTATTTTAATTATGTACAACGTAACTGTTACACATGTAAAACTACTTCACAAAAACCGTGAAAACGTTTTTTCTTAAATATTGCAGTTTGTTGCCGTTAGTTGCTTCTGAATAAAGGAGGGTTAAAGCCCTGCAGATCCTTCAAATAGAAACAAGAGTTTTAACCACTGACCTAGGTTTGACCATCAGCTGTTACATTTACCCACAAATGTTGGTATTTCTGCATTTATTGTTGCTGCCTAACCTTGCTTTTTATGACTTTTGAAGTCTTTTGTTCAAGTCATTTTGTCGTGTGATTTGATTGTTTAGCATGTTTTGCTATTAATTTGTAGTTTCCAATTTTATCTTTTATATTGGGCCATAACTTTAATGTACTGTATTGCACAATGCCGTGTACTGCACACTGATTATTTTTGTTGTAACAATTTGTCTTTAGTTGTACAGACTTTCTGAAGTACATCCTGGCACTTTGCTTATTATTTTTAGAAGAAAAAAAACCCACAATGCATTTATCATCTGTTGCTTTTACCTTATAAACTGTTAACTGTTTTTTCTCTGCATCTTCTTGTCAATACAGTGTAAGAAATACATAGGAAGACACTATTTGAATATTGTGCGTCTTTATAATTTTGTGTACCAAATAACCCCTAAAATACGCTGTAAATTAACATTAAATAGTTACCCCAAACCGGTATTTGTGCCATTATTCTTTAATGTGTTATTATTATTATTATTATTAAAGTTGTAGTTCTAAGTGCTGTCAAACTTTTATATTCACACTTGAACAGATGGCATTTGTGTGGAATTTGTATTTACTGAGTCTGGAATTTCTTTAGCTCTTTAAAGCTACTCAGTTACTCTCATGTATTTCCAAACGTATATGTGGGACTAGATTTATCTGATTCGAAGACATACCGGAATTGACGGTTGATATGAATTTGTGTATAAATGGATGCTTGTCCTTGTGTCCCTTTTAAATGGGCTGTGCTGTGCAAGGCCTTCAGTCTTTTACAGGTGGAACTGCTTCAGTTACCCTAATAGCAGAAAACAGTGGTTGGAAGATTATTATTTTTATTTTAAATACATATTATTACTATTTGAAAATTCAACAGTTGGGGATGATGATCTAACACTTTGACACAATCATTACATTGAGTGTTTTTGTGAATAAAATGACAAAATAATTTATAAAGAGATTTAATTTTTGGTTCCCATTGCAATCAGCGCAGCCACGGAACTAATTTCAGTTACACGGACATTTTACTGTGGCGGACCAAACATGGCCTCGGTCCGAAGCGCAACATTTTCTCTCCGTCTGCTTAGGTACGAGAACTTTTACTGTCATTTACAATAAATACGTATGTATTTCCTTCTATTCTTTTTGACCGGCAGTTTAACGTGTTCCATGTTCAGAAATCCAAACACAGAGTCTTATAAATATATATAAAAATACATATATCTCGGTGATAAGTTATTCATCAAGTGTTGTCATTCTCAGGGTAATGTCGTCAACGTGTTATTATGACGTGAAAATAACATACTATATATCAAATAGAGTAAATCATCGTAGTCAACAACACACCGCGTTTCGCTCAAATCCTGTTCTATTCTAAGAATAAAATAAAATATGTAATTGCACTCGTAGGACTTTTGGACAGATCAAATCTATGTTTTTTCAGTCTAAGCTATGTTTAAACGGTTATTAATTTAGTATGTTGACAAGCTAAACTTTTTTCTTTTTTTAGGAGTTCTTCTCATTACCTGTTCAACTTTAAGAAACCTGCTCTTCAAAAACTTGTAAAGTTTAGAAATGTCCTGTACGCTAGTGTAGCATCTTTAACTGTAGGAACAGGGCTCTGTGCCATACCCTTCAAACAGGTGAGTGATACCAACCACACAGACACATGGAACTTTTATTATATAACTTTTACAATTTTTTAAAACTTATATTTTATGTCTGTGATCAAGGTGGAAAACCTCTCTCACGATACTCTGATCAGACGAGCAGCCTCTTTGGTCACAGACAGTTCAAGCACTTTCCTCTCACAGACCACTTTGGCTCTTATAGATGCCATCGCAGAATATTCTAAAGTAAGTGTTGATGGTGGTAAAGTTATATATTGTATATTCTTGACCTCCAATTCTGCTTCTTTGTGAATATGTCCTAAAAGTATTCATATAAAAATGGTTGTACATATGTCTTTGTACTGTTAAACACAGGATAGAATTATTAGCCTTTTTAGTATTTAGTATTAGTATTAGTTTTATATAAAGTTTTTTATAAGTTCTGTCTTCCAGAAATGGCCACAGGCGTACTTTGATAATAATGAACGTCAGTCCAAAGTCCATGTGGCGGTTTACAAAGCCTGGACTACAATCCCATTACAGAAATGCTGTGTAGTAAATTGATGACTATTGTTAGTGACACACAGAATAACTAAAACTGAAGGAGCTTAGAATAAAAAAATAAATAAAATATATATATTAAAAACTACCTGAAAGACTGTGCTCTGTTGTTCAGCAGCAGGATTTTAGTGGGTAATTTATTTATTAAAATATTAAAATAAGTTTTAATAAAGTGAATAAAGTTTTTATATCTTTTCAATATTAAATGTAAATCTTGAATTTTCTTATATATTGCTAACAGGCCGTGCACACACTCATCGCTGTCCACAAACGTTACCTGGACTTGCTGGGAAAACTGAGTCCAGCAGAAGAGGATTCAGTCTGGCAGGTGATCATTGGCCAGCGAGCACAGGTTTGTTAGTTTGATAAGATGAAACAGAAGCATTGTCCAACTGCTAATGTAACGACATGGCCATGGTTATATTTTTAGGCAAAAAGAATACCCTAATACATTTACATTTATCATCAATGAAATGTTTACCTGGTGACATTTGCTGCCACCACATTAGTCATACATTTTGCAAATGGACCTTTGAATGGAAGTAGGACTTTGGATTCCAATGTACGGTGTTAAAACTTAGTTGGTGAGGGGAGTGGACGAATGTGTCATTTGTCTGTTGTATGCCATAATTTGGATTGTGCTACATTTGCTGTCTTTTTTTGTTTGTGTTTTTTTCTTAGTAACTTTTTTCTCTTAATTATGACCCCGAGGCATAAGTCAGACTGTTATGATGCTTTTATGTCCTAGATCGAGGACCCCCTGAAATGATGTGACAGCATGAGCCTCTCTCCACAGAAGCAGTTCTAAACACTGATACTTCATGTCCGTGTTAGATGGGTTTAAACACCAGGTCTGAACAAGGTCACAGGTATTTTCTAACCTTCTGTCCATACAGGTCGATGACAGATGGAATGAATGCAAGCGTTTCGAGTCGACCTGGGTCAGTGCGCTCAGATTGTGTGAAACGGCAGCCGAGGCGGCGTACACATCAGGTGTGTAAAAGATGAAAACATGGCAGTTCCACAGCTTTGTAAGCAAATAGTTTGGATGTTATGCTTGCAGGATTTTCCTGTAAACGTGTTGAAGTGTGACCAGTAAGTCATTGTGAATTGGAAGCGTCTCTTTCTCAGAAACTTTCTCAGTCATTAACTGACACACAGCATGGCTTTGTGTGAAACCAAATGGAGATGATGAACAGCAGAGCCTGAGGCGGTGAAATCTTACTCCTGGAACTCTTTTTGTTTGACGTGTGTGTGATTTCCCCCCCACCCCCAGGAGCGGAACATGCATCCATCACTGTGAGAACACACATTCAGGTGGCTCAGTCTCAGGTGGACGAGGCGCAGAAACTGTCTCTGGATGCAGAGAAGAAGTTAGCTGAGACTAAAGTCATGGAGGTTGAAAGGATGGCTCAGCATGCTGTGTCTTCACAGAGTCATAACGATGAGGACGAGGTTCCTGACGCCTATCTGAGAGAAGACTGAAGGCTGTCGGTACACAGCCACAGTACTGCACTGGGCTCTGTCAGTTGTTTTGTCTCATTAATGGATAATTGGAAATAAATACCAAAATGAGTTTCAATCTTTCACTGTTATTCACACTGAATTCTGTGCTTTCAATATATTCAAAATTAAGCAGAGTATTTTGTTGTTAAAAAAGCTAATTTCATGGAATAATTTATTGCGTTGTGTTTTATGTATTGTTTGATAGCTTAATTTTAGATGCTTGACACATTAAAGAAATATAATAAATAATCCAAATGTGACAGTGCGACCTAAAAGACCATTTTTAAAACAGTAATCTTTAACTGTTGATGGGCCGATGGGCCACTGCTTGTGGGCCGAATCTTGCCCATCAAACTGTCCAATCCAACCTGTGGACTGGATCCCAAAGTTGTAAGATTTCAAAGAGGAAATATTGTGGAAATATTGTGAGTCAGGTGCCACAGCGTTGTTGCTTGTTCAGTTTTTGTTGGTGATTGTCCCGTTGACTTCCAGTCTCCTATCATGATCTTTGATCATTTTCTATAAAGTCCGTGTGGCTCTACCCTGTTGTTTGTGTCTGTGATTCACTCAACAGCTCGGCCTTCAGTTCAAATCACCCATGTCCTGACTTTGTCCCACAGAGGTTTTTGGTCTTATCTCAGCTCCTCACTGTCATCACTTCATCAACTGGGTCATCTATCATTCTAACTCTGTCACAGACACACAAAACAGCCTGCTTCTGGTCAACAGTGGGATGTTTTTTTTTTCTTTTTAAAGAGAGAATAACAGTGATGTTTTTTCTTACCTTCAGTTTTGGGATAAGGTGAAGGAAAGGTGAGAAAAAAGAAAGAAATCCCAGTGATGATTTTACATGTACCTTAGCCTATGCCTTACTTCACTGTTGCTATAGCAACACAATGACTGTCAATTACTGGACATTATCACGTCAATGATTAGATTAGAAAAAAAACAATAGCTCCCCGGTTATGCGGCTCGTTATTCGCTTTCAATTCGACTGATTACTCAACTGACCACTCATTGTTACAATTCCAGCAGAGGGCGCTCTCAAACTATATTACAACACTACAATACAATAGTAAATATGAGGTTCAGTAGTGTTGTGAAAATCCTTTTTCAAAAGCACGTTGAGTGTGTGTGTGTGTGTGTGTTGCTTACTTTGAAATGTTTTTGGGGTAAAATAAAACTACTCTTACTGCGTTATAAATATTGCTAATAAAACATAAAAAATACTGTGAGTAAATACAGTATATGTTTGTGTTTCAATGTGATAACATTGAGTGAGATACTGTAAGTATGCAAGTGCATAAATAGATTATATTATGTTATATTACACTATATAGGCTATATATATATATTTTTTTTTTCATTTCATCATTTCAACTCAGATTAAATGTACACAAAACTCCTGTGGACCAACTACAGTATAGTCACTTTCTAGAAGTGTCTTCATCCTCTGGAAATGTAAATATTTACAAAATAAAAGACCTAGGCTTTATTTAACTGTCTTCACATATCTTTCCCTCAAGGTCAGTGTATACTGTGTGGGGTCGTATGGGAGGGAGCTCATTATGAGGAAGACCTATGTAGAGCTGCACGCACCAGTCGTTCAAGAGTGTAGCATCAGCAGCAGTGAGGTAACCTCTTCCTTCTGGAGATGGTCAGGCCCTGGCAGTGGATGGGACCATTAGTGTGGCTTTAGATTAGGAGGAGCAGGAGGAGAAAAGGGAGGATTTGAGGTGTGTAAAGACTGACTCACCAGCGTGAGTAGTGAGGAATGTTGTGTTGAACAAAGTTTGTTTTCACAGTCTGTGAATCCCAATGTCCCAGACTGCACGACATCCATCGGTCACAGTAAACGTGGTGCTGGGGCAGTGTTTGCAGCAATGGAAATAAGTGACAATTACGAAGGTCTGTGTCTACTGTCTATGTCTACTTCCCTTTTAGTACTACAGCCTACTTATTAGGCATTGTTTACGCTGGCGGAGTTAGGCCACTATATAAAATAAGCCTTGTTGATTTATCGCGTCATAAGGACGGACATCTTCTCTGTCCACTGACTTTATGTTACAATGCGATGCAGTCCCTTAAAGAAGACTGATTGGTGAAAAGGGCAGCACTTTCACCTGGGGATTTATAGCTCTTTTAGGGTATAAATAAACAACCTGAGGGTAGGAAGGCAGGGGGTACATTGTGGTGACACATCATGGGTCATGCCTTAATCACAGTGAAGCTACAGCAGCTTTTTTTTTATGTTGGAATCCACGGCCCCCTCAGGGTTTTGTCATCATCTTGATGAGGATCAGTGTGTGAAGATACTACAGTACTGCAGAATGAAGGGGTTGTACTTCAACTTGAAGGAGCCAGCCACACTGAAACGAGCATTTTTGCTTATCTCCAGTGAATAAATATGATGTTGGGCCAAAACTGCTGAGGGAGCAGGTTATCACTTCAAGCTACATTGCGTGATAATAACACTGTGCTGCTGCTGCACACCAAGCCGGATTACAGAACGTGTAAAAGCTGTAATTATCCAAAAGAAGAGAACAATGCACGGCAGGATTTCATTACTACTTTGTTTCGGGACAGACTATAAGTCTTGGTGTGTGTCTGTCGAAACTGGGGAGAAAGGCAGTTCCTTCTTTCTTTCAGTTTATGGAAACAAAACATCAGCCCGAGTACTTGAGTTGCATTCGTCTGTTTTGTTCTTCAGTGAACACTCATGAGATTTTAAATTAACTTTCACATTCACTTCCTCTTTCTTATTACAGTACAGCTGTATGACTTTAGTTGGCCAATATCTAGTGAATACTTAAAAACAACTACAAGATGTACTCTGTTCTTTCTTTGGCTTTTTTGTTTTTACAATTCATCAATTCATCCCAATAAAATATGCTTCCTCCCTAAGATCAGTGAGGGCTAAGAGATCCAGGCTTGTAATCAAGGACCCAGGTTTGAACCCCACCTTGGCTCGCTGTGGTGTGTTGAGAAAGCACCGACTTATTTGCTCCCAGGGTGCTTTCTACGAGCGATCACTGCTGACTAAGAGTGGGTTGATGTATCTGTATGTATGCTGACATTAAAGTTCTCGACTCTCTTCTCAATACATAAAGATCCCAGTTTTATTACCCCCACAGGAATTGGTTAACAGTTAGATACCCTCTTTAACTGCCATTTCAACCACGCCCCCCCCCCACCCCCCATGGTATTTGGAGGTTGCTAAATAAAGTGTGTCATTAACAGAGTCTGTGACATAATTGTAGCATTTTAGGGCATAATTAAGGCACTCGTATTAGATATGAGGCCATTTGAGCAGAAACAGAATAAAAAACAATAAAGAAGTTAGTTTAATGATGTAATCTTTCCAGATTAACTGTTTTTTGTGTAAAACCAGACAGTATTACAAAATAAGTATCCAAATAATCACGTTTCCAAAAACAAATATACCTAACATTATTATTATTACTACCTAAAACACAACCCAACCCTGATCCTCTGCAATGGAAAGTAAATATGTATCTTGATGAAGATAGAATAGCTTTAGGAATATAGATCTTTATTTTCATAGAAATAGAAGAAAGAAGAAAGAGACAATAATCTTTATATTTAGTTTCCCTGTGGATACAGCAGTTCTGCAACCATGTCAATACAGGATGGAGGGAAGGAAAAAAGAATGAAGCAGGGAAGAATGAAAAAAGAGGTTAGTAAGAACGAAAAGAGAGAAATGGAAAAGAAAGGAGTATGGAAGAAAGAAGGCAGGAAGGATTCTCTCTTAATACTGGAGGAACCCTCGTATAACTTTAAGCGGTGACCCCTGAATCGTCAAATCAAATCAAAGCAGAGCCTACACTTAGTACGTGAGTGCGCACGCGTGCACTTATGTGTCCCACACTCAGATGTGAAGTGGTTCATTCCATGCCGCGCTGTCGCCATGGAGAGAAGTAGCAGTAACTGCTGCAGCAGTTTCTGAGTTAAACAGCAGCAGCGACAGCAGAGACAGCAGTAGGAGCAGAGAATAACAGAGCAACGAGACGAGGACCGAGCCCAGAACCACAGTCAGAGCCACAATCATGGAGAAATCACTGCTGTTCCCAGGATCTCCCGGACACAGGCTGCAACTTTTCACATCACTCCTCATCTTTTACGGAATTACCTGTGAGTTTTACAGCGTCTTTGTCTTGTATTGCCCCCCCTCCGTTTCTAGTTTGTGGAAGTTGCAGTGGAGTTTTGTGAAGCAGCCCCAGGAGGCGGCGTGTGTCCCGTTAGTTAGTCATCGTTTGGGAAGTGACTGAACTGAAGCGAGGCTGCTGGTGGTGTTCGATTTTTTAGAAAGAACCGTTAGCCTCTTTTCAGCTAACGTTTGCCGCATGTTGGACAGTGGCTCCTCGCATGGAAATTTGCTGCTCCTGTGGTCAGGTCGCCATCTGCTGAAAACATAATTTGTACTTAGTTACTAAGACAAGTTACTAGTGTAGAGATGAACAGTCACGACTTAAAGATATACATGAGAAAATGTGTTAATAGTAGTTGTAGTTGTTGGCGATAATCTTAGATCGCGATGATGATACATTTAGTCGCGGTAACACTTTATTTATTTTCCAATGTCCAATTTTCCTTTTGGACATTTAAAATTATGCGCGAGCCCTCCCCTAAAACGAGAAGATAACACGTTAGCTTAGATTTAATAGTTTAAGAATAAAAATACACACCAAGTAAATTTACTCTTTGTACCGTAAAAAATAACCAGCGCGTTGTTGAGCAACTTGTTGAACTAGGGAGAAAAACATTAATCGATAATCGGATCGATTAATTTATTAATTACTTTATTCTCAAAACCTCCAAATTATTATATCCCCTAAAACCTAGCCTTTGTTTTGAAACCAATAATTTGATTTCCGTCATTGTGGGGCAAAGTAAATGGATACTTATTCACTTAACAAACTAAGACAATTACAAAGTGAGTATAAGGAGGAGTCCAGTGTTTAGTGCTAAATATGTCATAAGTGTCTGGTTATTGTTGCAGTTGGGGTGAATAAGTACAGTAGCAGACTAACCTGGAGGAAATATGTGGCAAAACAAATAACAATTTACCATCAAAATAAATAGAAACGTTGATTGTTTAGTGATGAAAGTGATCAGCATGTGAAACACAACACTGTATACTTTAGTGGCAATTCTAAATGTGATTGATATTAGAATGACAGTATATATTATATATATTTATATAGCAGCACGATTACTGATCACATGAGCTGCTTTTGACTGAAATCAGCTTTCTCTCTTTTTGCAATACCAAATTAACAGTTGTGGTCAGCAAACAAAGGATTATGGGAGTCCTTGAAGCGATCAGTTCCGTGCTCTGAGTTTATTTGTGAATTTCCCCATTGTGGACAAATGAAGAACTTAAGTTTCGCTTCACTTGGGGAAAAATAAAACTTCATATTTGCATTTAGTCGAAAGTTTTTCAATATGGTGCATTGACCTCATGTTAACTATCAAGACATAAAGTTGACTCATAACTTTTGCTGGTAAACCCCTTGAGTAACACCTGGATGATAAACAAATGTTTTCATGCCAGGGCCAACACTTGGGACTGTGTTTGTAGAGGGGGGTGAACTGGGTGTTCTCCCACTCGTATAACCAGAAAGTCATTGAGAGGATGCAGTGGTTAGTGGAACCTAGAAATAGAAACAAAATGAAATACTATGTTTGACGCTCACTTAGAGAGCGGAGAGGAGCCCCTTGTGAAGTTTACCAGTTGGTTGGACACAGATGGGGTGGATAATGTTATGTGGTACACTGAAGAGGAGCAGCAGCACAGGGTACTATACTGCAGACATGAGAGGTGGCAGGACAAATGAAGACATATTTCAAGGGAGGCACTGCAGTCGTAGAGTCTCAAGAAATATTGACCTGCAGATGGGCTGTGTGCCAAGCAGTGCACCAGCTCCTGTACTGTCCCAACTCATTAGGGTGATAGAGGAGGGTTTGTATTCATCCCATTCCTGAGCTGGGATTACAACACATGTCGTGCAAAGACAAAAGAGGGGACCAACGCAGATGGATGCTTAAATTGACACTGCTCAGGAATGCGCCATTTGTTTTTTTTTCTTCCTAAATGCAGGGACACTAAAAGCTCAGCAAGTGCAATGTGTTTAATCTGGAAAAATATTATCTTTCCAAAGAGGTGGAAAAAAAACCAGGTTTGTTTTTTAATGCAGCCCAAAGTGATTCAAAGCACATTTCCAAACTGCTGTGATTAAATGTTAAAACCCTTACAGGCAACATTTCTGTGTTTCTTGTAGAGTAAATCCAGTGTGGAGGCATTCTTAACCTGGTTATGTACTTGCGAAATTAATGTTTTATAAAGCATGTTAAAATGGTGAGAACACCTGCTGAGCTGCGGATAAATTGGGAATAGTCCAGGCTGGTGTGTTTCCTGGCAGGAGTGTTCACCTTAGTATCTTATTGACCCAATAATAGGGAAGAGTTCTAAACCTAGAAACAAAGATCTATTAGGACGGGCGTCAGGTCCTGAAAAAAAAAACAAAAAAAACCCTTGCCAATAATGAAGAAAGTGCTGCAGAAAAATATTCTTATTCTAAAAGACAACATAAGGTTTTAAACAGATATTATCATCAACTGACATTTTCTGACAAGACATGTTGATGATAAGACATTGTGGCATATAAAGCTGTCTTGTCATGAGCAGTCCAGTGTTTCCCTCTTCAGTTGTCACTAGTCATCTCTGTCTTGTATTCTTTCTGATGCACACATGCATGTGCACGCACACACACACACACACACAGTCTTCTTTGGGTATAACTTTCTGTCTGAGTCCACAAAACACTGGTTCATAAATCAACCAAGGGAACTGATAAACATTGCTCTGCTGCAAACTAAGCTTATTATCCTCTAAACATGTGGTGCTTGCTGATAAATGCATACAGGTTTTCAGTTCAAAATTGTCAACCTGGCATCATTATTAGCTTAGTGCCATTTTTGTCAGTGTATCATTTCAAACAAAGAGGTGTGAAGGGTTCTTTTTTGTAACATATGGCCAGATTCCCTGTGGCTCGTGGGTATTTGAGGGCGGTCAGCAGGGCACAAGAGTGCAGGGGGACTTTGTGACACAGACCGTGTTGATGTCAGTTTCCTTGACTCGGTTATTATCAGATTCCCCGTAGTGTTTGACGCGGGTGTGAGTAGGGGATTTGATAGAGGCGTGGCCACAAACTGTGAGGTCTGTAATTGAAGACCGTAGTTTTGTGGTTTCTTCTCCCGGAGTCGCATGATTCACAATCTAAATAAATAATGTAGTAATGGAGCCACCCAAATTACAGACCAAATACAGAAATAGATTTAAGAAAGCACTGCTCTGAGTGAACAAATTGGATTATTTTAACCCGCTGGTAATGGGCCTCATTGGATAATAGATGTTAATGAGATGCAGTGAAGAAAGTAGCTTTATCACTGAAAATGACATTAGAACAGCAACATCTTTGGCACCAGTTGGCAAAGGGCATGTCAGGTCAGCTATATTTAGGACCTTTTTGTCTGGGTTGGTGATTGGATAACTTTAATGGTTATGGTTAATTATACAGACTGAATTACTTGAGGTCTCAGTGTGTTTAAGTGGAGAAGTCTGCAATTAGCATAAAAAACGTCGACCGGCTTCTGATCTGTTTTGTAAAAAGATATTTAACAAATGTCAAATTCATGGGCAGCATTTGTTCATGATCCTTGATGGCCATATGCTGTTGGAAGAAGGGAGTATGCTACCATGTAAGATTATAGCATTTTGAAGAACATCTGTGGGTGGCAGCTGTTCCATCCGTCAGAACAACTCAATTTATGCTAAATGTCAGATGTAAACCGGCAGCAGGCTGAGAACTCCTGATCACATTTAATGCACAAGTGTTCCCTTTTTAAAAGAAAGCCATCAGCCAATGAGTGTGCGCCTTTATTGTGGGACGTTGAGGCTTTGTGGGGTTCAGCTAGCAGTCTGTGGTCACCAGCTTCTGTTGACTCCACCCTTTGCTTCCTTTTCCCTGACAGATGTGACTGACTTTTAGAGGCTCTGAATGGTGAGTTGCTCCCTGGTGGTCCATTAGTAAATTTGGACATGTGACCTTCAGTTTTAGCTTAACCCCAGTCTGTGTTACCAGGGTAAATAAAGTGTCTAAATAAATGGTGTCTACACCATTGTTGGTGGTCAATTGCTAAGAGCCAAATACTTTTATTATCTTAAGCATGGGCCCAAACACCCCTGTAGATCCTCCGAACATGCTATTTGTAAAACAAAATGACCAACAATACAACCAAAGTACTGGCTGACTGTTACACTTGAACAAGGACAAACTGAGGGATACCACTAAAAGTTAAATTAGGCTAAGTGGTTTTACAAAAACTAAAGTGGACACAAATAAGACGCTTTGATAACTGTAAAAATTGATGATCTACTGCAGAGCGAGCATGAAGCCACATCATGCTTATAAATGTCTAGGAAGATAAATGTTGCCTTAAAGTACTTGGAAAAGCAGCTGACACTACTGTTGTAACATTGTATAACACACTGTTACTTGAAAAATACTTTAGATATTATTGTAACCACACCAGTATTCTAAACACAGCGTCCAGTGTGGCCTTGCTATGGCTTCTTGTTTTACTAGTTTACTCCTGATTAAACATTACCAAACCCTAGAAGGTTTTGGTGTTGGTTGCTTGGTTCCACTTGCCCCTCCCCCGCGCAGTTGGTGAAGAATGCAGAATAGACAGTGACAGCAATATTGACCCCGGCAGTTCTTATCAGGTACCTAAGTGATGGTAAACATTTGCCTGGTCTTATAATTCAACCTGCTATATTGTGTAGAACCAAATTACACTTGTCTCTCTCTCTCTCTCTCTCCCTCTCTCTCTCTCTCTCTCTCATATATATATATATATATCCTTATATAGGTCCTTTAAAAAACATATGTATACAATTTAAAGCTGAGGAAACCCTAATCTCGTTGTTGAGACTATGATTCTTTGTTGACCCCCCCTTACCGCAGGATTATCAGGAGAGATAATTGGTTAAACCTTGCCTAGTCTCTCTGTTTTTGTTAAAGGGGCAGGTTGGGTTCAAAAGTTGCCAAGTATCATCTGTGCGAGCG